ATCCATGAAAAGGAAAGAACTGTGAAAGACCTGTGAAGACAGATAACTATGGTAGGTAACTATTACCCAGCTAACAGTCATTAAATCATTGTCTGCCTGAAAAAGCAGTAATGAATAGCTCTACAGCCTTTAGTGATAACAGAGGTCAAACCGGTTGCACATGAATTTACTTGTGTAATAGAGCGAGCAATTTGTGCAAAAGCAGTAACTGACAAGCAGTTACGTGTGACAACCTGACGCTCAGTGTTGTAAGCCTTCGCTGAAACACCATTCCAGTACTTTTCGGGTGCTATTTGGAGCTAGAAAAATCTGGGCAAACTCAGAGCTAGCACAGGTCTACCTACACTCACTGGGTTTGACTCGATCAAGCAAAAAAAATCCATCAGCAACTATTCTCCAGCTTGTTTCATCTAAGCAGGGTGCTGATGCCTTGAACACAAGCGTCAGCTAAGGGACAGTCAAGAAAGCGGGTAGAAACCCACTCTTCACCTTATAAATGCTTCTGGTTGATTTCTGTGTTATCTGGACTGGCTGGAAGACAGAAGGAGGCACTAGAAATCCTGTCCTCCAGAAGTAAAAAGACTTCATTCAATGGATAATCTGCTTGAAAAGCAAAAGAGCATTTCATCTCATTTCAGTACTGACAGAGAGAAATAAGGACAGAAACTCACGAGAATGATGATATTCACATATAAGAGCTTGCTCTTAAAAGCTGTAACCTGGCAAAAAGAAATAGTAAGACCTACCTCAAATGCAAAGGATTAGATCTGTTGTCCCACAAAGGAACATGACAGAGTCATCGTATTTGCAGACCTTTTCTAATGCACCTTGATGTCATCACTGGATGGCAAAGCATGAGCTACCTTCAAAGCATGCAAAATGGAAGGCAAACACCAGACGCCATTCCCCACCAGACTGAGAAACCTTGGTATACATCATTACTGCAAAGTAAGATCATTGCAGTTCAAACACTTCCTAGAGGGACACACTCCAAAGGCATAAACAGTCTGGAGGAGGCAAGGTCTATAAATCACTGCCAGTCAGCTTAGAAAAAATGTTGTCATTGCTTCTCTGTGGAGGAGTAAAACAATAAAAGACATTTCTTTTATGTATGGATGGCTCAACCATTATGTTATTTTAACATCATTTTCTTGTAACCCATCCACACACAACTATTTAAACATTTGTTATAAAGTATGTCTGGGGTGACTCACCCAGCTGAAGAGTAAGCCTAATTGGTCAAACTTCCAGGACACTGTGTGCTGAGCTATAGGGAATCATAATCTCATCTATTAGGAGATGTGACAAGTTGCAGAAGCTATCTAAAATTCCTGGAAGAGGTAGTGTGAAATAAGAACCGTTGCCTAGGGACAGTCTCTTCTTTACGATAATTAAAGAGCTCAGATCTGTGCTATTCTGGATGGATGAAAAATATGCATGCATAAGCTTAAATTCTGGCTTTGGCTTGCTCATCCGAGAAAGTTGTCTAATAATTCATTAGCCTCTTCAATAAAAGATACCCAAAAGGCAGAATAAAGGGCATCTGTGGATTTGACTGCCATGTTCATACGGTCCCAAAATTTCCCCCAGAGATCCTGTTCTTCTGTATAATGCAGCTACATGACTCACAAAAAAACCCCAAGAACTTAGGAAGAGTTCCTTCTTCCCTGAGAACATTCCCATAGCAAATGACCAGAAGTAGAGAGGAAAGAAAAGCACTTCACAGGCTGAAACAGAAATGTTAAAAAAACCCTCCAGAGAGGTTATTAGTGGGTGGGGAGCACAGTCATAAACATAGACTCCAGCAGTATTTTTCCACACACACTCATTAATGACACTCACTTCGCCATATTTCTGTTTGAATTGATGATAATTCTACCATTTGGGTGAAAAATTAAATACGAGACATCTCACTTTGTATTCTCCAGTAGCGGATAGGAAAGGACCTTTTGCTGTTTCCTCACATCCTCTTACTGTCCTGTCTCTTTCCCCAACATACAGTTACCACGTTCTGAGATGTACTGCTCCTGACACATCGATTTGTAGAGCTGTAGCAGCAAAATGGCTCCCTAAGAAAACCCTTGTATTCAAGCATCACTGTGGACTCACACTACTTGTACATGCATTACCCATATGGCTCTCACATATTTGGAGTGAACTAAACCAATGAACCATATACACTTGGATGGACTATTGGCCTTTCCTTCCATCATTTCTCCTGCAGAAATCAATGGGATGATTTACTTGCTTCTGCCAGTGTGTAGCTACCAACAGCCTGGCTCAAGTACAGATGAATACTTTCATTTTAATCAGCATGTTAGCAAGAAGTTGTGAATGATATTTCCAACTCACCACAACTGGAAGGCTATACAAAGCAGCCAGCCAGCAAAAGAAAATATGATGATCTCATTTATATTCTCTTTTTTTAAGCTTTTAAAAGTGTAGCCAAACTGAGATAATAAAAGTTAAGTATTTACTACGATTTCCTCTTACAAAATACAAATGTAAAGTGATTTCATCAGTACCAGATAATAGGCCTGCTTATAACCAGAGGGCAATAATTTTAATAACTTTGCTAAAAATATGCACTGGTATAAAAATGTGGTGCAATAAAAAAGAAGTACAAAAGGTAATGAAATATTACCTATTATCTCAGCTCATTTTTGTCAGGAAATAATACTACAAACCTAATACGTTACATGGAAGCCTTACGAAAAGCAGGCAGGGAGAGGCTTATAGTCTTATCCAGTATTAGACGAGAGGCTGAAGTGATTAATAAGTTGACATTGAAGAGCAGAGAATGGAAATCATATGGACTTTAGGGAAAGGAAACAGCTTAAAAATGAAACTGTCATGCTGCCAGGCTGCACAGAGAGGCACAGCTCCCACAGCCACCCGCACCGTGCAGCAAGCGGGAGGGCAGCTCAAACCTTTGCCAGCGCTGGGCACACAGCTGGAGCCTTCGGCTCCCCCACGCCTGCTGCCGTGCAGCCCTCGTGCACACACGGGTGAGAGCAATGGGAGAACCACGGTGAAAATAGGAAGGGGAGAGGAAAAAATACATTGAAAGGAGGGGTTTGAATGCAGCAGCAAGTTGGGTGTGTGAAGAATGGGAAAAATAAGGTAATCTATAGAAGGAGTAGATGACATGAGATTTATCCATAGCAGTGGATGAGCTATACATCTAATTTGGGGGCCTCCAGCATACACAGCGTGTAAGGATGAGATGTTCTTGATTGTTTTTTAAATAACAAGGCCAGATCTTTTGATGGGATTAAAATTTGGTTTTACACTGACCTGAACACTGTTCAGGGCTGCAGGATTAAGTTTTAAACACCCAGTGAAGCAGCATTACAACATCAACAATGCCATTTATTGCAGATAACAGGCCCAAGACATCATTCCAGGAGACTCTACATTTACTGTTGTTTCTCAGGCACATTGCATCTGGTTCTGAATTGCACATTGTTCACACTGGAAAATATCTGCTGTGGCTTCCAAGACTGGGGATTTAACTGTGGCTAATTCTCTGTTTAGTTTACTAGTGGTATCAATGGAGAGTCACTATTGGTGGTAAATAGGTACTACGCACGCAATAAGATCAGTGGAGAATTCAGTCAAAATCAACAGCATGTAAGCCCTTTTACTTACGTAAATTACCTAAGTAATTTAGATCAAAACATGTGATGTCCACCAAAAAAACCCTCCAAGAAGCTATAAACATTTATTAACAGACCTCTTAAGAATAAATTATAGCTTTAAATATCCTGGATGAAAGCAACAGAATTGTCCTGTCCATGAAATATATGTTAGTGACTTTCTGGAAAAAAAAGAAACAGTGCCATTCTGTAGTGCTGCAGAAGAGAGGAGCTAATCATTTCTCCTTTCAATGAGTTGAACATGCCGTATCTTGAAGTCTACCTAGGATGAATGGTAACCATTTTTCCTGGATCACACCCCAATTTTAAAAGTGATAGTTTTCTTCTAAATGACTAGAAAATAATTATAATAAACTTCTTTATTTCTTACAAAACTAAGAACAACTGGGCCAAATGAAAGACTACTCAGTTCCTTGACTTGATTCCTGTTAATTATTGAGGATAGTACCCTTTCACAAAAATTTAAAAGCCCAGTTCTAGCTTTTCAAGGAGCAGGACTATAGCTAGGCACCGCCTACTCCCTATGTTTTCTACTCAAATGACTGATACTTCCTCTGACTTTGGAAATGTGAAATCAGAACTCAAATTTTATCACTCCCATGCTCCACGGTTTAGGAAAAGTGCTGTATCTTCTCAATGAAAAAGGAGAAAATACTAGCAGCTACATGCTTGGAATTTAATTTTAGGAGGAACTGAACCATTCTAATATGCTGCAGTCAACAGGAACCGAGGGCACTCAATAATTCATGAGTTTCTTTCCATGTTTCAGTAGAGCCTGTTGAAAATTTCTCAAGGAAACATTTTTCATCAGAAAATTCCAACTCCTGTGAACCAAAACTGCTTATAGGACAGGATATGCTTGGATCCTTGTCTAATATATCTTTTTTTAAATTCAGTTTGAAATGGTTTTTAATCTATAATAATAAAATATTTCAAATATGAAAAGAGTTGTTTGACTACAAGACAAAAGAATTTTAAAAGGCAAAGCAAAGTGTTTCAATCAATATTCACTGTGATTTTTTAAATTCTTTTTAAAAACAAATGTTTGAGAAGAAAAAAGATTCAAACTTGGTTTACTTTCAGTTTGGGTCGGAAAATATTTCCATAACTTTTCCTGGGAGAAGGAAAACTTTTCCTACTTTAGATCTAGTTATGAAGATATTTTCATGCCTGTCCTAAAAAAAAAAAAAAAAAAGGTTTACACCCATGCAGGTAAACCTCTCTTTGACCCTAGTGATGAGTGGAGTGCTAAATCTGTTATGTCTTTACTGTCACTTTGATTCAGTTATTTTAAAACGAATGGCAGTTGCATCAAAAGGCTGCAGAACAACCATTTCTTACCTTTAGTCTTTCTGTTACACCATCAGTGAAACTGACTGTGAATTCAGCAATTTTGGGCACTCTGAGTTTTCCTTTGTTCTTCTGGTCAGGCTGATATTCTGTTCTTGTTTTCACAATTACCTGAAAAATATCAACACTTTTAAGGTTTCTGCACACAGCATACTTTTTGTTTTGTTATCTAAGCTTTTCTATATAAACCATCCCCTGGACCTACACAAGTATCTTAGAACCATAAATTAACAGATTCATCATACCCCAGGAACTAAGAGAAACAGGTAAATAGTCAGGCAGATACACAGACCTAGGACAGTGAGCTTATCACGAGTCTTAAAACAGCAGACAGCAAAATGTTTGACACCCACTTTTGTTTAGGACTAGGCATATAATTTTTATATCGTATTCAACAGGCAGAACACGTAGACTAACAGCCCGTCCTAAAGCAGAGCCTCATTTATTAAAAGCCCCGTCCTAACAAGTTCCACTGAAGCCAATTTAAATTTAGTCCATTTGGTGTCTCATTTATTCAGGCTCCAGATTATCAATATTAATCTCATACTACCACCTTGGGTTTTCCCCAGAAGATCTCAGTGTCATTTGCTGACTAATCCAGGTCCTACTAATCTTACAAAAATGAGGCGTCTTACGCCAACGGAGAAGCCATAAGTGGCTTTTAAAAGGGTACAGTCAAATTACCAAAATTGCATTGTCAGTCTACATTGAATTTATTTGTAATCTAAAATGACCCTAAATATTTTGGGCAAAATGCACCCACTGCAAACACAGAAAAGGTAACATCTAATGCCAACTGTTCCCAGAGGGGACGAGCATCGGGACTGTACTCTGAAACTAACAGCCCTTCAGAGGAGTGAGCACATCCATCACATTATACACGAGAATCTTAGCAGACTACGCATCCACGAGCCTATGCAGCTAAATAGCGTCGTGAGAGCATGCCCGCACAGCCACCAGTATCTTACTCTAGCTGGAAAATGCAAGAGAAGACAAAATGGCCCTGTCTTCAGCACTGGCCAAGAGCTGGAGCTCATCCCTAGCGAGGGAGCTGTGGTTGTCAGCACACACTATCACTGCGCTTCTGCACAGGATTTCCAACCCAGAGACAAGGTCCACAAAGCATACAAGGGTTTGGTGTCATTTGCAAGGCTAAACGCAAAAGGATAGAAAGAACATTAAAGCTCTCGATTCCAGGGCCAACACTTCCACTTTTTGGCTTCCCACTCTGAATTGCAGGACTACGCAGCCATCAGCCTTGTCAAGGTGAAAATTAAACACTCCAGCAGCGGTGACTGGTTCGTATGAGAGTGACAAGAGTGATCCTAAAGCTCTTTGTTAGAAACAAAAAGTCTTGAAGGATTGAAAAAGATTAAGTGATGCACAAGGTTGAGTTACCAGCTAATGAAGAACTTACTTCCAAATGAAGACAGCAAAGTCTGGTTTTGATCAGAGAAAATCCCAGGTATTTAATCCTCCGGCACTTAATGCCATATGAAAATCAGAGTGAGAGAAAATCAGTGAGGAGTCATAAGCCAATTTTCTGGATTCAAATGCAAATCATTAAAGACTGATGAATATTTACATCCTTCAGTGAATCCCTCTCAATAATATTTATTACAGTAGCATTTGCAACATTAAGACTAGGGAAGAAGAGGGGACAAAAAACCACCCAAATATATTTATATTAGCATTTTGGAACGCAGGATTTCTGATGACACCTCACAGATGATGGGAAGTGACACAGGGGGACAAGCTTGATTCAGCAGGTTTGGGATGAACCCTAACCCTACTCTGCACCTACTATTGAATCAAACCCCACTATGCTCTGAAATGCAGTCCAGCACACTGTGGACCAAATAAAGCAAAGCTCCCTCTCCAGCCAAGGCAAACCGGCCCAGGTTAGCTGAGTTATAAACAAGCAATGACCTCATACTCTCACTCAAAAGGAGACAAGTGCACTCAGGACTCCATGCAGCTGGCCCCTAGCTCCCCAGTCTTCTGGCTGGCCTTTTGTAAACCCAGGACAGTCAATTACAGAGTGTCAGCCATCAGCACCTACCCACCAGTGTTCAGAAACTGCACTCATTCTGTCTTCAAACCTACCAGTCACAATATCCAGTTCTCCCAAATTCATGCTTCCTGCTCGATCTTAGTTGCAGACAAAATTTTTAAATATACGTGAGAGCTTTTCCACAAACTCTAACGTTAGGTCTTAATGAAGGACCATGAAGTCAGAATATGTGAAAAAAAAATAAATAAAAGCCTTACTTGTTTCTAGACATAATTTAATTTTCTTCCATTCTTTGTCATTAACACCAGTTTTCTTATGGGCATTTTTAAACTGTTGTTACATTCAACCAATACCCTGCAAGCAGGAAAGTTTGAATTATGCTGCCTACAGGGATACAGCATGATACTGAAAATAAACCCACACAGCCCTTCACAAGGGATCAGAATCAAGTCCAGCAGCAACGTCTATCATGTCTGTGAATAAATAAGTAAGCTCAGTCCCCAGCCAGATCAGAAGCTACTTGAAACACAATTTGCTGACTGTGCCAGCAGTGAAATGTTTGTGTGCGCAGAGCCACAGTCATCCTGCTAGTCAGGGTTTTGCAGTGGTATCAAAAGGCTTTAGTGGCGGAGGTAAGAAGCACCTTTGCCAAACACATTTTGGCGTTGCAAAAGCTAAATATCTGCTCTCCAGAAGTATCTTTATCAGACACCTGGTGGAATTACTCAGCAGAAGAAAGACCGGGCAGTCAGTAAGGTCTCCTCTTTAAAGGAGAGCAGAGAAATAAAATGACAAAGGACAAACAGAAAACCTGTAGTGTGGGGGTAGCATCAATATTGTTGCAGTAACGATAAAAACGCAATTTTGCTGAGGGCACGGGGTGCACGTTTACAAGAAAAGAGCTACCTCTTATTCAGTCCCCTACAGTCTAAATAAATAAGCCTGAGCATGAATCCCACTTCTGTAGCAATGTTCACCCCCTCTCCAGCCAACAAGCTGCCATCAGGACGCCCACGCAAAGGCTTCTGGAAATTGAATTGTGTTCAGCACACTCCCTGAGCCTCCTGCACCAGCGAGACCACCCCAGTCAGGGCTGCCTTAGCAGTACCCAGGCACAGGAGTGAACTCTCCGATGGTAGTACACAGTCACACACCACACCACACCACACACACACACAGTTTTCAGCAGAGCATTTGCTACACTGACAGCCTCCCATGCACATGTCAGTTGTGAGTGTCTCTGAAAGAAGTTTAAATGAGAGCTGGTTGAAACCTAAAAGAACTTTCCTAAAGCACAAAGTGTTAATTTAAGTGCAAATTTAGAAAATTAATTAATTAATCTTATAAAGATTTTTTTTCTATATTTTTAGCATTATTGGGGTTTTCCTATTTTGGTTGGTCGGTCTGTTTTCATTTTCCAGTTTTCGGATTTTGGTTGGGAGGGAAAGATTTGCCTTCCCCCCATTCCCCATTCCCTGCCATCACTTCTTTTTCACCTTTTCTTTCCATTTTGTCACTGAGAAAAAATTCCTGGCAGTAAAGTCTTCTAGAAATTCTAACCAAATTGCTGTTGGAGGTACAGTAATAAAAACCCCACTGACTCCACAGTCAGTGCAATGATCAGCGTTCATTTATCACCGGCTGCCCCAGAGCAGTTCCATCAGAGCCCAGGATCCCACTGTTTCAATGCAAACAAGGTACATTCATCTCACACCACGACAGGTTTCCTGGGACAGCTACTGGCGTTTATTACAAACCACAGCAAACAGAACGATCCTCATTCCCTCTTCTTGTCCCTTTTGTAGCTCTGCTAACTTCAGTAGTTATTCTTGATTGAAACCGGCAAAAGGGAGTATAAAATTGGGGTCCTGTGTCGGTTGCAATTCAAAGCAAACTGATCCCTTCTCTGCAATGCTGTTACAGTGGAAACCAATTGCTGTAAGGGGGCAACTTCCAGAGCTGGCAGCAATGCTTGGCTGTGCTCTGGCCTCCTGAGTACAGACAATAAATGCAATCGAACCAGTGCTTAAATGGACAAGTAGGCTCTTGAATAGTCCCAAAAAAGGCAACTAGTCCCCTCTCCACCCCCACTTCAGAAACACCATTCTGCCTATTCTCTGCACTTGGCTCCTTAGCTCTCGCCTCCTCCCGCATGCTCCCTAAGGCTTGTCTTAACTCATACTCCTCACAGCAAGAAGAGTCTGACTGGTTTAGGTTGGCATCCCTAACCGTGAGCTTACTGGGGCAGAGAATTATTATCTTTAGTCATCTCATGAAGCAACCTGCACACCTGGAAATGAATACTAAAAAGTAAGAACAGTCCCATCAGCTTTTCAGATTGTCCGAGCCTTCACGATTTCTGGAAAAATACCTTTTGAACTCTTGTTCAGACACTTGTCAGTCTTTTGTTATCTAGGCCCTGATCCAGCACCAGCTTGTGCCTGTGCCCCAATTTGTGTGCTGTGATTGACCACCAAAGAGAGCAGCCTCCCTGCCAGCTTAGCCCAGCCCATCTGTAGTCCTTTAAAGTCTGTACTGTGGATGGAGCCTAGCTGAGTACTAGCTCGGGGGATCTCCCTGCAAATTGTGTTGCTGCCGTGACCTGTTCTTAAAAGTTTTCACACTATTTCCCAGAGACCCTCCACATTTCAGTTGCACAGACTGTGCTGTTTATGGCAGAAGCAATAAAGGGGACACAAATAAATTACATGAGACCTTCTTCGTTTTACATCCGAAATAAAATGGAAAGTTGTTTCCTAGATGAAGTTTGCAGACTGATTGTAAGAATACAGGAAGAGCTAAAAAGGCTTCCACAGACCAGCAAAAAGACACATCTAATTACAGGAATCCACACTGCAGTCCTTGCAGCTTCCTCCATAACCAAGTTTATCTAGCATTTGAACTCATTAACTTCCAATTCAGCAAAGCACTTAAGCATGCAAGTAGTCCTATTAACATCAGCAGGATTAGTCAGGTATTTAAAGTTAAATGTGCATTTAAGCGCTTTGGCCAGATCAGAGCTTAAGCTGGCTTCAGTCACCTTCCCACAGCCAGTTATAAAACTGATGCTTAGGGCTCCTGTGGCATTCCTTGGCAA